ACAGTAAATGTTAGTGATTTGGATAAGAGAATAGCCACCCCTCTAGATTTGGTGGAACCAGCTGCTTTGAATTGGTGGGTGAACCATTTAGAGGGTAAGACCACATTGCCCTTCTTGATGTAGGTTTCTTGGAGCAAAACTATATCTGCTTTTTGTTTTTTAAGATCTGCCTCAATCCGTCTGGCCTTGATTTTGTTGTTACGCCCTCTGCAATTCAGAGTTAAAATTTTAATTTGTTCAGCTGCCATACTGCATTACTTTTGAGAAGATTATTCCAGCCAACTGCATTTTAAATTCCAATTGAGCAGAGACATAAACGAAACAGCAGTATAACATCACACCTAACAAGAAGTATGAGTAGCCAAGTTTACAAGCAAACATTTGTAACAGCATGGCATTATGTTTAAAGGACCTAATCCTATAGCGATTTGCATTGCCAGACCACTGGAGCAGTAAAAGTACGCTTAACTTAAATAAACAATTGGTACATTGGAACATATTGTTTCCTGCCATGACATTTTTCCCCCTCCCCCTTTTCCCATCGTACAAATTCAATGCTTATGGGGAGAAACCTTTTTGAGTTACTCATTTCAGTTAGTCCCCAACGAAAGGCCTCAATCCAGGGATCCTTGTGAGTGTGGCATCCCACCACACAGAGCTGTAAAGGCTCCCTCTTGCGGATCCAAACTGAGAAAATTAACAAAAAACAAAAGAAAAACCTGTTTCCATCAATTTGGGGAATCATGAGTGAGTCACCCCCCTCCCCCCCACCTTGAATAAAACATTTTGCAAAGCAATGAACCGAGTAAATTCAAACAGTTGATTGTAACATTTGAGCTTGAGCTGCCTTAGAGGCACAGACTGAAAAGAGAGATGCAAATTGCAAGTCCTGGAGAGACAACAGTAGTCACGGAGTCATTGTTAATCTAATTGGAATTTTGCTCCAACGGTGAGGAGTGTCTGGCGATTCTAATCTCCGTCTTTTTTGTAGTGGAGGGTTGGGTGTCTCTTGCAGGAGCTAGACCCACTTCTTTTAACAAATCAGAGCCAGAATCCAGATCGTCTGCTTGGAATATCTTGCCCTGATATTTAACTTGAAGATATCCTGTTTGGAGCCATCTATACCGGAGACCTGCTTCTGTTAATCTGTGAGTGATTGGTTTAAGTACTCTGCGGATTTGTAAGGCGTCAGGGGGAACGTCTGGAAAGATCAGTATGTTTTCACTATTATATTTAAATCTGCCCTTCGTTTCAGCTTCCTTAAGAATGTGATTTTTAGTATGTAGATCCAGAAACTCTGCTAGAATGTCCCTGGGACCAATGTTCCCTCTAAGCTGAGGAGTCTTGTGAGCCAAAATTCTACTTTGTGAGCCACTGGCATTAAAGTTGTGAGCGAGCGATTGGGCTACTGCATAAATCAGTTTGCTCTGGAGCCATCCTTCCTGAGCCAAGACAAAAATGTGTGAGCTGGAGGCTAAAAACTGTGAGCTAGCTCACACTAACTCAGCTTAGAGGGAACACTGCCTGGGACCCCTTCGTCTTTCGGAGGAGGGAGGGCCCAGATGGAAGGCCTTGATAATCATAGGGGCAACCCCCGCTTCCAATTGCATTGCTGCAGCCAGCCAGCTAGCTATGAATGAGGAGAGTTCCTGTGTTTGCTCGGCTTGCTCAGGGAAACCCCTAAATTTAAGGAAGCGTTCACGGGCTTTATGCTCTAGAAGGAAGATCCTTTCCTTAGCCCAGGTTTCGTTGCTTTGTAGTTTTTGAATGTCCCCTTGGTTGGTAATAGTCCCTTCTAGTGCAGAGTCAGCCGATTGGGAGACTTTTTGCATTGTGATTTTTAAGTAGCCAAGTTGCTCAGCAAGGGGTTGGAGCATCGAGTTGATGTTTGTGAGCATTTCGGCTTTGAATGTACTAAACATTTCTGCCAGCTCCTGTTTGGTAAAGGCTGCCTGTGGGGGCTGGGTACTAACGCGCTCAGTGGCCATTTTAAGATTGACACAGTCACTCCTACCTTCTTTCTCCCCCTGGCTCTGGCTAAAATAAGCCTTGAAAGATTGTGATTCTGGATCAGATCCTTTGCCTCGGTTTCCACTGGTTTTTCCCATTACCTGGGGGCTGATCGGTTCAGGTACTGTTTGCTGGGTCGGGAGGGAGATTGTGAAGGGTACTGAGCTCACTCAGACAGCGTCTGCCATTACCGGTGCCGACGCCCCGCCCCCTGCCAGCACACATGAGAGGAAAGAATTTCATGTGGAAATAGGGTTGTCAGACCCACCCACCCCCCGCTGTGGGTGGGGGAACCCTCGCTTTTGTGAGGTGCTCCCTCACCGCCGGCCAGCTGGCCATCAGGAGGAAATCCCGCCCCCCCAAATGGCCCGAAAGGCAATGTGATGACATCACCTGGAAGCGACACCATTACATCGCTGAGGTTGGGGGGAAGCTCTAGTTTTGGGGCAAAACTCTATGGTAAAATCAGCTACAAACCATAGAGTTTTGCCCAAAAACTACAGTGTCACCCCCGATGTCGGTGATGTGATGACATCACCCAGAAGTGATGTCATCACACCATGCATATTTCATCCCAACGAGGACCCAGGATCCCCCACACACACACTGGTTGCCATCCCAACGAGGACCTGGCAACCCTATGTGAAAAAGCAGAAGGCCGAAGTTGGCTGTTGAACTTTCCCTCCCTTTCCCCCTCCACTCTAGAATTCATCCTGGCTATGGGGAGAAGTTACATTTGGAAAAGAAGCTCTGGTAAAAAGAAGTAGCAGGCGGAGAAAGAGTTCATTGCCTTCTGCCTGCCTCTTGGTGACTTATATTTTGAAAACCTGGTCTCCCCATACATCTCTGGTCTCCCAACAGCCTTCCTTTTGTCTACCCTGAAGGCCTGTATTGTGGAAGGGTGATCAAAACGGGGGCATGCTAAAGATTTATAAAAACCATGAGGGGTCTAGAGAAAGAGAGAACAAAAATCCCCTCCTCATGATATCGGAACTCACGATTTCCCCAGGGAAATTCATCAATGGTTGGTTCTTATAAAAGTGCTCCTTCACACCATGCTCAGTTAATTAAACTGGACCTGGATGAAAGAAAATATTAGGCTAAGTGGTCAAAAAAAAAATTAAAAGGCAGACTAACTGCACTGTGATGGAGCTATTGCCATTTTCTAGAAGTCGGCCTTTTGGTTGATGTGGGTCCTTTCTGCACTTGGATCTCATCCCTGGTTTTATCAGAGTTCAACTCGCGACACAATCCCTTGCATTTATTCCCAGATGAGGGCTGCCAAGTGGGGGCGGGGGGGGGGGAAACCCCCGCTTCAGAGGCCCGATTTCTGCCGCCGCAGAATCGGGCCCCGGGGGGAACTCCGCCCCCCCCGAAGCGCAGCGTGGCTGCGGCACCAGAGGTGACGCAACCACGTTGATCACGTTGGAGGCGTGGCCCCGATCGTTGGAGGGGAAACTCTATGGTTTTCCCTCCGATGATCGGGGCCACGCCCTCAACATGATCGACGTTGCGCGTCACTTCTAGTGACGTGCTGGCGGTGCGCACGCGCACACATCACCAGACGGCTCCCCTGCCGGAAAGCCAAATTGACTTGGCAACCCTATCCCAGATATAACAGCATCTGTTTATCCTGGGACAACTGTGTGGAAAACCCAGGGTGACCTCAGTGTAATGTGGGGAAAAAAAATACCCCCAGATAATTACAGGGGTGAACTTGTGTGTAGTGTGTAGTGTAAGTTCAGGGACAAGGTTGAACCAGGATTTAAGGCCTAATGCGGAAAGGACCTTAAAATGTCTGGTTAGTTGTGTTATTCTTGGGGTTTTTTACAATGTGTCTTCTTAACATGTTGGGGGTGGAAACTGCCATTGAGTACCAGCTGATTTATTGCAACCCCCAGGGCTTTTAAGGCAAGAGACAAGCAGAGGTGTTTTGCCATGGCCTTCCTCTGCATAGCAACCCTAGACTCCCTTTGTGGTCTCACGTTCGCTTTCTAGCCAGGGCCTACCCTGTTAGCATCCAAGACTGGGCTAGCCTGGGCCATCCAGTTAAGGTATGTTACATTCTAAGTATTTTGCATTTCATTCTGGGTATTACATATGGATAGTTACTGCCACGGCCTTGGGTTGATGCTGCTCTTAACTCTCCCTAAAACACGTGGCACTCACGGCCATGAGATGTGGGGCTTATGGTCAGGGGTCGTTTTGTAGAAAAAGAGCTAGGGGAACTCATTAGCATAACTCATTAGCATATGCCACACCCCCTGACATCACCGGAAGTGGGTCATAAGGCCACACCCCCTGACATCACCGAAAGTGTGTCATAAGGCCACACACCCCGACCCCAACGGTCTCAGCCGCCGCCGCCGGCCTTGCAGCTTCACTGCCGAGCCGCATGAGGGGCCCGGCGGTGGACCTGCAAGGCCGGCGGGAGTGCAAGGAAGCCCCGTGAAGGCCCTCCCTGGCCCCAGGCAGGCAGGGGTGGGGAGAGGCAGGGCGGAAGCAACTTACCCTCCCTCTTCTCCTGCCTCCTCCTGGCTGAATGAGGGCCGGAAGTGGGGCGGCTGGAAGCAGGGGGCGGGGCTTCGTCACATGCCCCGCCCCCCCGTACCTCACCCGGGGGAGCTGCGATCCCCCGCGATCCTCCCCGAAATGACCTCTGCTTATGGTCATGAGCTAAGACAGCTTTAGTAAAGAAACAAACCCATTCATGGAGAAGAGGACTTTCGACATCCACCAATTACCTGCAGTGGCTAAATGCTGCCTTCTCATTTGTAGGTAGGAGCCTTCTGGTGAACAGCTGCTGGAGCTCAAACTCCAGGGCAAAAACCATCTTCTATGGGTCTTTGCTTGTGAAACTCCACAGACGGTTGGTGGAAATAGATGGACAATAGTTTGGACCCGGAAGACAGCACTTAAATTCTTCTTTTCCTCTTTCCATCTAGGAGAAGACAGAAGGCAGGAGTGAAGGATAGTCTCCCCCCAAAGGCATGGAGAACACAACTCAACTTACCCTTTTTGAGGTTGCCCACCTAAATTCCAGTGTCGTCACCGCCTTCCATGACGAGGATATCTTCCAACAAACTTTGTGGAAAAGGCTGAAGATCTTCTCCCTGGTCATCCGCAGCCTTGTCTTCTTATTGGGGCTCATCGGAAACGGGCTGGTCATTTTCATTGCCGGCTTCCGTATGAAGAAGACGGTCAACACCATCTGGTTCCTCAACTTGGCCATTGCCGACTTCACCTTCATCTTGTTGCTGCCTCTGAGCATTGCCTACCTGGCTCGGGACTTTCACTGGCCCTTCGGGGAGGCCATGTGCAAGTTCAGCTACACCGTGTTATTCGTCAACCTCTACACCAGCGTCTACCTCCTCATGGTCATCAGCATCGACCGCTGCATTTCCGTGTTACGCCCCGTGTGGGCTCAGAATCACCGGAACCCCCGCTGGGCCTCCTTTGTGGCTTTCGGGGTTTGGGTTCTGGCCCTGGTGTTGAGTTCGCCGAACATCCTTATCAAGCAGCTCAAGCGGAATGGGGATGTGATCCACTGCCATACCAGCTATAGCCCTGATGCCTACCGTGCCATGAGTATCACCCTCTTCATCTTTGCCTTTGTGATCCCCTTTCTCGTCATCGTTATTTGCTATGGGGCGATTGTTCTGAGGCTGAGGAGGGACCGCCTGGCCCAGTCGAGCAAACCCTTCAGGGTCATCACTGCCGTGATTGTGGCCTTTTTCGTCTGCTGGTTCCCCTTTCATGTTTTCTCCTTCCTGGAGATTCGAGGCCATGAGGACCCCAGGCTGCATCTGGTACTCGTCATTGGTTCCCCCCTGATGCTTAGCCTGACCTTCTTCAACAGCTGCCTGAACCCCATCCTGTACGTCTTCATGGTGCACGATTTCAAGGAAAGCCTGAAACGCTCCATCCTCACTGTATTTGAGAACGCCTTCGCCGAGGAGGAACGCCAGAGTATGATGCAAACTAAGCCCGAAGCTGCAGTGGAGCTGGACTCCCTCAACTTATGAGTACAGCTGATCTTTATTCCCACAATTCTCCACCTTTTGATGTATTCCTTCATGATCTCATGCAGAGCATGCTCTGTACTCTCCGTAGGGCTGCCAGGCCCCCCTCTTATGGCAGGAGGCTTCTTAATCTCCCACCACAGTTTTGAGTCACAGCAGGAGAAAAATAAAGGAAAAAAATCTGTACCGGTATCATATGTCACTTCCAGGTACAATCATAGAGTTTCTGGTGATTCCTAGAGCTACCCACTCTCCCTTCCGGGGACAACACTATGCCCATGCCCCCCAGCCCTCCCATTGGCTGCTCAGCTCAAACTGGCAATCTTAAACGGCCATCTCCCCCATCTTTTTCGGTTCACAAGTGAACTTTCCCTTCTTTTGCTCACTTATTTTGGTGCGTGTACAGGGGTCCTTTTGAAGAAAAAGAGGTGCAGGAGCTCATTAGCATAACTCATTAGCATAACTCCTTTGCATATGCCACACCCCCTGACATCAGCAGAAGTGTGTCAGAAGGCAACACCCACCGCTCAGGCTCCACTGGACTGTTTTGGACTGCTAGCTATTGGGGGGGGCGTGCAGTTCTGTCCTCACAGAGGAGGGAGAGCTTGTACCTGAATAAAACTTGGTCTTAAAGGTGCCACTGGACTGTTTTGGACCTATTGGCTCTGCAACTTACCTGGCTGCTTCTTGCTCTGACTGAGGGCTGCTGGGAGCAGGGGGTGGGGCTTATTGCATGTGCCCGCCCCCTGGGCTCTTTACTGCCGGAGCTCCGCTCCTGTGCGCTCCTGCAGGAAATGACCCCTGTGTGTGTATACAAAAGCTGCAAGGAAGTCAGGTGCCCTGTTTCATGGAGGGGGAGACATCTGCACACGGCTTAAGTACATCTGGATGGGCTTGCAAGTCTCAGGGCTCATTGTGTCCTCTGTATAATTTGCGAATGACTTGGACATAATACAGTGCAACAACTCCCCCTTTTGGAGGCAGGGTACCTATTAGCCTCATGCAACCAAACGTGTCTGAAGTTGGATTATGGCTACAATCTCCTGCAAGCAGATTATCCAACCTACAACGATTACGTTGTAAGCTAGTGAGGGTAGTGTGAAAACTGAGTTCTTAATTTATATGAAAATCTATTTCCCAGTCATTCTCTCCTGCTCTAATATGAGCAAGAAAACAAACCCAAGGTGGGTTTATGAAGACATATATTATTTTGTGTCAGGGTGTTTAGCTCTGTCTGATATATATTTTTCTGTCTGCTGTTTTTGCTTCGATTCATTTTGTGGCTGCCTAAATTGTGGCTCAAGTGGTTAAGGCGCTGAACTGCAGGCTGTGGAAGGTCGTTCGTTCGGCAGTTCGAGACCCGAGTGTGCCGCATGACGGAGTGAGCTCCCGTCTCTAGTTCCAGCTCCTGCCAATCTAGAAGTTCGAAAGCAAGAAATTGCAAGTAGATAAATAGGTACCACTTCGGTGGGAAGGGAACAGCGTTCCGTGCGCCTTGGTGTTTAGTCATGCAGGCCACATGACCACGGAAACGTCTTCGGACAGTGCTGGCTCTTCGGCTTTGAAACGGAGATGAGCACCGCAACCCGAGAGTTGGACTCGACTGGCTTTCGAGCAAGGGAAACCTTTACCTTTACCTTTAAATTGTGTTAAACATATCTTAATATTTATGCTTTGTTTCATACTTCTCTAATCCTAGTCCTATTACATTGCTCATTACATCTCTCATCCTATTGACTGAATCCACTTAAACTGTGTCATCCTCCTTGAGTCTCAGTGATAAAGGCAGACCATGAATGAAGCGAATGAATAGATGCTTAAATGAGAATCACTCTTTATAAAAGCAAGCGTTAACTCAGTGTCTTTCTTTTCTTCCCCTCTCAGAATAAAAAGCTTTGGTTCGATGTGGTGGTTGTGTTTGTGAACTCGACGGCCAAGCTCAGTGACTGCTGATTCACACGTCACGGAGCACACAGGCAATTGCTGACTTCACCTTCACTTTCGTTCTGCCACTGAGCATCGGCCATGTAGTCCTGTGCCTTCACTGCCCATTTGGTGAGGCCATGTGCAACTTCAGCAGCGCCATGGTCTTTCTCAACCTCCCTTCCAGTGTTTACTTTCTCATGATCATTAGAGGAGGAGGAGGAGATTGGATTTATACCCAGCCCTTCACTACCTGATGGAGTCTCAGAGTGGCTTACAATCTCCTTTGCCTTCTCCTCCCCACAACAGATATCCTGTGAGGTAGGTGGTGCTAAGAGAGCTCTCTCCAGAACTGCCCTGAAGAGAACAGCTCTAAAATAACTTGTGACTGACCCAAGGTCACAGCAGCAGCTGCATGTGGAAAAGTGGGGACTCAAACCCAGTTCTCCCAAATTAGAGTCCACACTCTTAAGCACTACACCAACCTGGCTCTCTCTGTCTTTCTGGGAGATGCCCTATGAAGGCTCAGACTCACCTGACCGCCCACCTGACTTCCTTTGTGATGCTGGGCATTTGGATTCTAGCCCTGGGTTCCCCAAACTTCACGTCAGGAAGACTGTGCGCAAATGGGATGTGGCTGTAAGGCCACAGTGATGAGGGATAAGCAATAATTATTAATCTTGCCATGATTTGCAGCCGGCTCTTCTTCACTTTTGCCAGCTCCTTCAGCGGCATCACTGCTTGCTGTGGGGCGATTGCTCAGCAGCCAAGGTGACTTCACTGAACCCCATCAAGCAGGCCCTTCAAGGTCATCACTGCAGTGATTGAGGCCTTTTTGGTCTGCTGGTTCCCCTTTCATGTCTCCTCTTTCCTGCGGATTCAAGTCTATGGCCCCGGTCACACAGGCTGGAAAATGCAGGGAGAGGGAAGTGTGGCTGTTTGCCCCGGAGCAAAATAACGCGCAGCTGCCCGATCACACGTCCCGTCGAGGTCCCGTAGTTAGGGGGGAGGTGCCGATCACACGACTATCCTGCAGCGCGGTAAAGAAGCGGCGCAGTGCGATCACACCGGCAATCGCTAGGCGCCACTTCTGTGGCAAACAGGATGTTGGGTTTTTTTAACCAAAGTTTGCGCATGATCATTTGTGCGCATCCCGTGACAACAACAAAAAACCTAGCCAGTTTGGGACGGGACTAGGACGGGACACGATCAGACGCCCGCCCTTGTCCTGCGTTTTTCGGAAACTAGTACATCGTAAGTACTGTTTTTTTAATCCGCATCTTCAGCGGGAAGCCACGGGATAGCCACGGGAGCACTACGCTTCCCAGATGTTGCGGTGTGATCACACCTGGAAAATCCGCCTATCATCCGTATCTTCAGCGCGGCAAATGCTCCGTGCGAACAGGGCCTATAATGAGCACACATAAACAAATGAAGCTGCCCTATACTGCATCAGACCCTTGGTCTATCAAGGTCAGTATTGTCTACTCAGACCGGCAGTGGCTCTCCAGGGTCTCAGGCTGAGGTCTTTCACAACACCTCCTACCCAGTCCTTATAACTGGAGATGTTGGGGATTGAACCTGCAACCTTCTGCATGCCAAGCAGAGGCTCTGCCAGAGAGCCGCAGCCCCTCACGATGCATATGTAACTCATTATTGGTATACCTTTGATGTCTGGCCTGGCCTTCACCAACAGCTGCCTCAATCCCCTCCTTTGAGTCCAGTGGCACCTTTAAGACCACCAAAGTTTTATTCAGGCTATAAGCTTTTGTGTGCACGCACACTTTCTCAGATAGCTTGTGTGCACATGAGAGCTTATACCTTGATTAACTTGGTTGGTCTTAAAGGTGCCACAGGACTCAAACTTCGCTCTGCTGCTTCAGACCTATGCGGCTACCCGCCTGAATCTATCAGCCCCATCCTGTATGTCTTCATGGATTTCAAGAAAAGCCTGAAATGTTCCATCCTCATGATATTTGAGAACATGTTTTCTGAGGATATCAGCCAGCGCTCAATGACAGAAAGAAGGACCGATACAAACCATCAAAATGTGAACGTTTCCAGACCAGACACTTTCTCACCGGCTGGATAAGGACAACAGACATGCACAGATGAAGACAGAAAATCTAACAAAAAAACCCCCTTAAAGTGCTGTTGAACTGACATATCTTGCTAAAATCAAGGGAACTGGGGAAACAAATTTTTGTTTACAGTTAGGTGAGCTGCGGTGGCTCAAGTGGTTAAGACGCTGAACTGCAGGCTGTGGAAGGTCAGAAGTTCAGCAGTTCGAGACCTGGGTGCCACATGACGGAGTGAGCTCCCGTCTCTAGTTCCAGCTCCTGCCAACCTAGCAGTTTGAAAGCAAGAAATTGCAAGTAGATAAATAGGGACCACTTCGGTGGGAAGCTAACAGCATTCTGTGCACCTTGGTGTTTAGTCATGCCGGCCACATGACCATGGAAACGTCTTCGGACAGTGCTGGCTCTTTGGCTTTGAAACGGAGATGAGCACCACAACCCTAGAGTCAGATTCGACTGGCTTTCGAGCAAGGGAACCTTTACCTTTACCTTTTTAAGCTCTCTAAACCAGAGTTTAACCAGGCATAGCTGGGAATGGTTTTGGGGGGGGGATGACAGATGGCTGCTCCGTAAATTCAGCTGTGAGAAAAGGGTCATGTAATGCACATACTGTTATGTCACTCCCCATAAGTGAAGAAACCTGAGAAGGGGGACAAACATATGGCAACTGAGGAAATATTCTCCACTGCTTGTGGCTACATTGTTTGACAAAGGCATTTTGGAGGCAAATTGTGAATACATCAATGAAACCTTAGAAGCGAATTTGCCTTTAGCTATTTTTTTTACTAATCTTTAAAGGTTAGTAAAAACATATTGATAAATTGGGGTGAAACCATCTATGTAGAATTAAGAAGAAGAAGAGAGGAGATCAAGGGATGGCACTCACTTCATGTGCATCTTAGAAAGAGGCAGACACCGGTGCTAGTCCTTTCTTGCCCAGTTCAACCTGCCTTAGTCCTAGATGGGGCATCAAAGCGATGGATTTAAAAAATCAGAAATTGA